TTTCCACTCTACTTCTGAGTAGAGTTCCCGTGTGCAGATCTTTTTTTTTGAGACTTGGATTTATTGGCCATTCTGCCATTTTAGCCAATCTGCCCCGCTCTCTGAAACTTCATCTTTCTGCTCGTCTCCTACCTCCCCTTCTTTAAACCTGCCTGAAGAACTATCTTTCCTACGACACTTCCACTTCCTTTTCACACCATCCTCTCCCACCTTGGAACCTCAGTCAGCTGTCTGAAGCACCTTGAAATGTTTTCCCAGTGTGAGAGATATTGCATAAATGTGAATTGTTCTTGTTATTAACAACTCCCATTATAAATTAGTGCCTGGATCAGTTAGTGGCACTCTTGCCTCTGAGTCAGAAGGTTGTGTGCAGCCTAAAGGCTGCCTTAACATTCACAATCTTACCACAAGGAGAATATATGCAAAATCAGCAAGATCAGCAAGTGTAAAAGTAATCATGTCATGCTCTCTGCTTCTTTCCTTATCGCAGACTGGAAGCAACTTCTTTTCAGGGGAGAATTAAGTTCAATTCTCTCACCCCCCACACTCCCCCCCCCCTCAAAAAAAAATTAGCCATTGCCTTTGCAATATCTCTTAGGATGAGAAGGCTGCGAGATTACTCAATTTCAAGATCCTCACAATTGTCTTCAAATCTCTTACTATCTACTTAATCCCCAACCCACTAACTGTTGCCTCCGCTTGACTGGCTCCATCCCCCTGGTTGTCCCTTGTGTCCTCCATTCTACCATCAGTAGCCGCACTTTCAACCACTAATCCCTGAAACTCTGGAACACTCTTCTCAATCCCTCCACATTGCCCTCTTCCTTCCCCTTCTTCAAGTCGTATCTGAAGACCTTTTTCTTTGATCATGCCTACAGTCACCTCCCCCTCCCCCTGTTAGAGCTGGGGGGAGGGGGAGGTGACTGTAGGCATGATCAAAGAAAAAGCGTTGTGCTCTGCAACTGTCAAATGCTCTCCATGAATGCGCTATACAAATGCAAGCTGTCGTTGATGTTGACTCAAGGTAGGAACTACACAAAAAAATTAATTCTCTACATCTGGAAAATTGTTTTAAATACAAACTAAGGAGTAGGCCATTCCCTCCAATAAGCCTGCTCCAACAAACTGAACCATGCTTTTAAAATATCAACCTGGTCCAATTTTGGTGCAAAGGCATCAAATTCAATGATAGGATTGTGGAGTCCTGTAGCTCAGTGGTTAGAGCACTCGCTTTGCAAGTGAGAGACCTGAGTTCAATTCCAGGCAGGGCGAAACCTTGGGCAAGTTTCCTTACTCCACACGCCTAATAATAATCCCTCCAAAAAACCAAAAACAATAATTAAATTGGTCATTTTCAATCTACGACTGTTTGTGGGACATTGCTGTGCGCAATTGGCTGCCGCGTTCGCCCACAAATATACAGTCAATTCACTTTACAGTGTGTTCTGTGAAGCGCTTTGGGACGTCCTCCTGACGTGAAAAGCGCTATATCAAATGCAAGGATTATTATTATTATTATTATTAGGATGGGAAGACGGTAAGGTGGGTGTTCTGTTAGGGCGAGATCACAAGCTGAAAGTTCTTCTTCATCCAAACCAAACTTGTGTTCTTGTGAAATATCCCTGCATATTTACAGTTTGATTCTTATGCTGATTAAGTGAAGATAGAAGTATTTGTGATGTATTTCCTCACGGCCATCCAGATCTGAAGAACCAAATACACAGAAATAGGTCTAGACAGTTGTGCAAAGGCGAAAGCTTTAAATGTCACACCAGTCTTTGCTCATTTTGCAGTTGACGAACACTTAGTACATGAATGGGCAACATAAATAAATCTCAATGATGGGCCCACGCATTATGTAGTTATATAAGCATTGCGGCAGGACTTCTTAAGACTCACAGAAGCAAAATAAAATCTGCAGGCAATGCTGAAACTGAGAAATGAATATGCACACAACAGTGATGGTGCTCCTGCTGTAATGCATGGTGGATTGAACTAAATCATTTATAATCCTGTCAATACAAACAGATAGGCTTACAATTCAGACCAAACAGACAATATAGTCCATTAACAATGTAGTACATTAGTAATGACACCTTATGTTCGTTCCTTTCGATGTAGTTCTGAAATTGTTATTCGATCTTTGGCAGCAGTGTAACACTCTATCTCTTGGATGTTTTGGATGCATTCTTGTCACTTTCAAATGATTTATAAACTGATCAATTTGCAAAAATAGGAATAGGAAGCTTTTCAAAGCTAAAGTCTCATGGGAGTTGGAAATATTGTTCTTGTGGAAAAGATTATTCCAGTGTGTAAGGAATCAAGCAATAAAGAAGCTTTCTATATTTTATCATATGCTATTTATCAGTTACTCAAGTTCAGTCAAGCTATTCCATTTAGCAGCTTAAAATTACTTCACTAATTCAGCATGGTGTTTAAAAAATTGATGCATTTGTACCTTGAAAATTCTGCCACCATTTTGTCTTATAAGTATATAGTATGGCAGTATAGTTTGCTCGTAAACCTGCAGTTTATCCTATCAATTTAATCCAAAGAAACCTTTGTTGGGGAACTATTGAGAGATTCAGTGCAATCATGAGTCCAAATGTGAAGATTAGTATTTGACAATGATTCAACCGCATGAGCATTGTCACAATAATCCATTTATACATCTCATACACTGAAAGCAATGAAGGTTAGCAAACAAACAGCAAACAACCTCCATTGAATTTACACATCAGATAACAGAGTCTGAAGCCACAGGATAATGCCTTCATATCAAAAGATATCATCAGATGCACGTGCAATTGCCCTAGTTTTTTTAACCTACATGTTGCATTTATTTATTCAAACACATTTAAGTAAGAAATTTATTAATCAACACTTGATATGCTCTGTCAGGCCATGCCTAGACCATTATTTCCCTTTATCCCAGGAAGAGCCATACTTCACTATAATAATAATAATCTTTGCATTTGATATGGCGCCTTATAACATCATTGAGACGTCTCAAAGCACTTCACAGCATACACAGTAAAGTGCAATGAGTTCGTATTTCGTGGACAAAACGTAGCAGCCAATTGCACACAGTAATGTCTCAAAAATAGACATGGAGTGAATGAACAATTTTTGGTGAGGGATTGTTGGCCAGGACACCCAGAGAAACTCACTTTTCTTTTCGAAAAGTGCCATGGGATCCTTAATGTCCATCTGAATTCTGTGCCATCCATTTCTATGGTTCTGCATGTTGTTCCTACCTCTAAAACTGATGGGATCCAAGAGGTTCAAGATCAAAGTTGTGCTTCTTGAGGTTTTATTAGAAACACCATCAAATTGATAGACAAAGGTGCATTTATATAGAAATAGAGTAAAATGAACATTAAAATATTACCGAATAGAGAGAGAAGGAAAGAAAAAAATAATTAAACAAAAATGCAGGCAAGAAAATAATAAGAATAATAAGTGTTTCACTGAATATACTGAATGTGAAGTGAATTGGCTGTATATTTTGTGGGAAAAACGCAGCAGCCAATTGCGCACAGCAAAGTTCCCCAGTCATGGATTGAGTGACCAAATTATTATTATTATTTTTTGAAGGCAACATTACCCCTAGTCGACTATCAACTGAGTTCCAACTTACTGCTAGGTAAACAGAGGTGTGTGGGGTAAGGAAACTTGAGTAAGGTTTTGCCCTGTCCCATAATTGAACCCAGGTCCTCTCGCTTGAGAGGCGAGAGCTCTTACCAATACGTTACAGGACTCCACAAGAAGAAAAGTGCCCGTTTTATTTAAATGGATTTTAACATTTTAGTTTAATGTTGCTGTTACAATAATAAAACTACTTCTGACATCTGGTAGTTCTATTACTGTAGAATTAGAGGTGATATTGGCATCACATTGTGTGAACTGAAGAGTTTTTTTTAAAAATAGCCACTGCTGGGAAGCTGGGATTTCCCTGGATCAGTCAGCAGTGATGTTCATTGATTCTGATTCTACAGTCTGTGGCAACAGGTTCTCCTTCACATAACACAGTGACCACAGCCACTATATCGGATACACTGACCAAGTACACCTCTTGCAAATATAGGCAAACAACCCGAAAGGAAAGGAAAAATATTTTTATTTCACTGCACAAAATACAAGTTTGCCTTTCAACCCTAATTTAAATAATGTTTTTCAGGTCTCTTTATTCCGATGAGAGTAACTTTGTAATAATATGAGTTAAATCAGTCAATGATACCAGAGGATTTCATGAGACTACACAAACAGTGTGATGGCTGAAAGAGAGACACTAGGAATTTCCAACAAGTAACCAACTGTGGACAGCTAGAGAGGCACTGCGGCTATCATGGGAACAGAAATGATGAAAGTTAAAACCATGATTTGAATTAACTTGATGCATTTAAACGGGTATCAAACCCCAAATCCTCCCAAGAGGGTGGGAAAGAAACAATAGTTGATTAAAAACAAGCATTGCGAACATTACTTGGGAGCTGCAGTTATATTCATACAGAGCAGCTGCTGCTGAGAAAACTGCTCCTCCCAGATTGTTGTACGACATCAGTAATGTGTTCCTGCTCCTGCAAATTAGATTTGGGGATGTAATATTTTGGAAGACTTACTCTGCATCATGTAATAATGTAATAACCTGTATGTGCAGCTCCTGCTGGGTTTTACATATACATGTGTATGTATGGATTGTATGGTATGTGCATGTTTAGAATAGCCAAAATGATCTTTTTAGTGATGCATTAACTTGGTGCAGTGACCATTCCGAACCAGTTGCAATTGTAGAGTTTGTCACTTTCAAGCTTCACTTGCATCAATATTAAAATGTTACTGCAGAATAGCACAGTAGAAATAAACAGCATATAAAATCATATTCCACAGGTATTGTTTACACTATGCATTGTGCGTTTTTTGCACAAAGGTAACCCTTTTTATATTGCAAGGTAAGAAAAGATTATATTTAATACAGAACAGGAACAAATAAAATAAAGCTAGGTTGCCTTTCCTATGATCAGAAAGCTCATGAAAAACACCATTACAAAGAATATCCACATGAAGAATCGATCAATGACTTTGGCCACTTTCTTCCACTCTGCGGATTTAGCATTGGTCGCCTTTTGCTCTCTGAAGCAGTTAGCAATAAATTCAATATTTTTTGCCACTCTGCCTTGATGAAAGGAACAGATGCAGGGGGTCAGGTCAACATCTTCTTCACTGGCATAGCTGTCCGCAGCACCTCTGTTAGATTGGCCATTGGACTCTTTCTGATTGCAAACTGGACAGCGCTGTAGTGGTATCACAGACCGAGACTCTTCCTCCTTCAGTGTCATCGTGTTGCTATGGTATTCTTTGGAAAACTGTGCCTTTATTCTCATCTCCTGTTCCTTTCTAAACTTTGCATTTGTTTTAGAATTATTAATTTGCATCTTATAGTCCCGTTTTTCCTCTTTTTTTTGTGACATTGTGCAGTTTTCACCAATTTCATACACAAAAAACATCTTTGACATATATTGCAATATGATCACTTTTGCCCATTTTGGAACTGGTTTGGCATCTGGCCCACAGTGGTGAATATTCATGATGATAATGGTCAGCGCAGTGGAAGCAGTGATCATTGTCATCGTTGCTATATAGTATTTACCTGAATAATAATAATAAAGAAAAGGGACAAACATTGGAATAGGTTGTCATTTTGGAAGAAAAAATTCTTATAAGGTTAGGACGACAACTTTTTTTAGCATAATCGAAAACATTAGGAAGGATAGAATTGGAAAAGGGCATTTGGTCCTTCAAATACTTATTTGGTCTTTCAAATACTTTCCTTCTACTTTGCAAACTCTTCCCTTCACAAGCTGCAGATCATCCAAAACTCTGCAGGTCGTGTACTCTCACGCACCAGGCTCCGTGACCCCATCACTCCCACCCTCGCCCGATTCCACTGGCTCCCCATCTCTCAGAGGATCGAGTTCAAGAGTTCAAGATCCTCGTCCTCACCTTTAAGGCCATCCATGGCCTTGCTCCCCCCTACCTCTCTGACCTGCTGACTCCCTACCAACCTGCCCGCTCCCTCCGTTCAGCGGGTTCCGGCCTGCTCCGTGTCTCCCACCCGACCCGCCCTACCATCGGTGGCCGGGCTTTCAGCCTCTCTGCCCCCACACTCTGGAACTCCATCCCACGGTCCCTTCGCCTCGCTTCCTCCCTTGCCTCCTTCAAGGCCGGCCTCAAGACCCTTCTCTTCGATCGTGCCTTTGATCTCCCTCCCACCTCTGTGCCTTTCCTCACCCCTACCCCACCCCTCCCCCATGCTCGGGCCCCGACACCTGACTGTTCAGCACTTTGGGACGTCCTCTTGATGTGAAAGGCATTCTATAATTGTAATTTTGTTGTTGTTGTCATGCTTATGCTAAAATATATCTTACTGAGGACCATCAGTCCAGCTCAATCTTCTTTCATAGATAAATGTTTCAGTAAGATAAAGTTCTGTGAGATTTCTCAGATCCCCAGGGTAACCAAGAAAAAGCCCAGAAGTTTATAACCAATACTAGACACATTCCACAAGTCACATCTGTGATATCAGCCGTTCAGGAAACCAAGCCAATGCTATCCTTTAGGTCCAACTGCATAACCTTTGATCCCATTCTTAAACAAATATTTATTGAGTGCTTTTAAAAGGAGCTGATTGGCGTATTATTCATTTTTTTTAATGTGCGTACGGTATATTTTATATGCTAATGATAAGATCTTCCACCAGCTACGCTCATGAGTAACAAGTTTCCTCTCGAATCGCTAACTTTACTATAAATTGATGCCTCATTCTTTGACTGTTTTCAGCTCAAGAAGATAAAGGGCTCATTTTGCTTCCCGCTTTATTCCTTCCTTAAATCAATGGCCTGTTCCAATCCCAGTTCAAACTGATCCTATTTATTGTTGATGATTCTATGCCACAATCAACAAATTCCTTCAGATTGGACCGTCTCAAGTGCACACAACTGCATTCCCCTCGCAGTACAATAAGCAGCTCACTAAACGTTGATCTCCTCTATGTTCTTTCATACGGCAATGGAAATCTTGCTATTTTTCAATTCCTAGAAAACACGGAGTGAAATCATTCTTCTCAGTAAAGGTCTTGGTGTTTGATAATAACAACAACAAGATTCCATTTAATTGAGCGCCTTTCACGTCGGGAGGACGTCCCAAGGCGCTGAGTTTCCCTTTAAGTCCACAGCATCAGGCTTGGTAACTGCTGATCAACAGAAGTGTGTGTCCACAGTTTCTTCACAGCTACAAGTTTGACCAACAGCTACCACTTCTTGCCTTTGTTAACTTCACTCAACTCTTTTTTTCAGGCTAGAACTCTTAACTTTGCTATTAGTTCTGAAATGAACTCGCATAATAATAATAATAATAATAATAATAATCTTTGCAGTAGATATAGCGCCTTATCACGTCATTGAGACATCTCAAAGCACTTCAGAGAATATACTGTAAAATGAATCGGCTGTATATTTTGTGGACGAAACATAACACAAAAAAAATTGGTACTTCAATCCACGACTGTTTGTGGGACACTGCTGTGCGCAATTGGCTGCCATGTTTCACCCACAAAATATACAGTCAATTCACTTTAGAGTATATTCTGTGAAGCGCTTTGAGACGTCTTGAAGACGTGATAAGGTGCTTTATCAAAATCAAGGATTATTATTATTATCTCTTCCATTGTTAATACAGCCTCTAAGAAGCTTGCTTTACTCTTTTGTGCGAGGTCCTTCTTTATCCCTCAAAAATCTCTTGATTCTCTTAAAAGCCCAAGTCCATCCAAAATGTCAGTGCTGTTGCCCTTTCTGGGCAGCCTGTTCTAGCAGACCACACACAATTCTGGGCAGGGTACAAGAAATAGCTTGTCTGACAAGTCAGCTTTCTGTTATCTCTAACCTCCAACCTCTCTCTTTCACACCTGGGCTCTGCACAGGAAGTGGTATGGCTTAATTCAAGCTGACACAAAGAGAACTTTTAAACTTAAAATGTCAAGTTCAAAGAGTTCTTGAGTGGTCCACCAGGCTGCCCGTAAGATTGTAAATATTAATTATTAATGCAGTAAACTTCACGTAAGTCATATCATTTGGGAGCATACATTTACTACAGTGTTAATAAAGAGCTGTCAGGTCCAGTGTTCCTTTATTAATGTTAAACTTTTAACTGGCCTTCAGGCGTAGGTTTACTGGAGCTCTGAAGTTTATTAGTATGCATTCACAGACTGCATAACTTACAATTAGCCTAGGGTGAGATCTACATGAAGCCTGCAATGTAATCCTGTCTAATTAACTCACATCACTGTACTACAAGCACCACATCTACACTGTAACCACCATATAGAGATACTTTTTAAAATTCCTCCAAATACAGCTTTAAACACAATAATATAAATTCTATATAACAATTATACTGATAACACTTACATGCTAAACTAGAATATTGATGTATTAAAGCGATCCCTCAAATGGTATAAGAAATTGATTCAAAAACATATTTTGCCGCATAGCTATTTCATACATTTCTTTTCATTTCAGCAATGGGATTTACGGTTGAAGTTTGAGACTAAGAGGTCATGTTATAATGCTGAATACTATATTTTTACAGAATGTCAAAATGAGTGGTCAGTCATACAGTAAAACAACAACAAAAGTAACAACAACAACAAATTGCATTTATATGACACCTTTCACGTCAGGAGGACATCCCATTGCTTTTAAACTAAACATGACAAGTCATGGTAAATTACTGTAAATTAATCTTCTCAGTGCTCTATATGAACATAATACCACAAAATCCCTTTAGGATACTATGCATTTACATTTCACATGGAGCAGGTATCTTTTAGTTAACTTAATCCATTTTCAGTACATAGAAATCTATCCTCCCTTGGTGGTAAGTTACTGACCTTTGCCAGTAAGTGTTCATTATTCTCTGCTTGTCGACCTTTAACAGTATGTGCTTCTAATGCAGTTTCTACTAATGGGGTTAAAGTAAGCAGACTATTTAACTTGGATGAGTTGTGGTGGACTGCAGGACAAGAATAATAAATTCACATGCTTTGAGCTGGATTTCCTCCCCATCCCCAGAATAAGTCGATCAGTCACTCACAAATGTGAGTAGTTCTGAAGCAATTGATCCCTTTAAACCAAAGCTGGATCAATATCTGCTGGGAAAGGGAATTGAGTCTTATGGGGATATTAACACCTCTGCTTATAGGATCCTTGAAGTTAAGGGATCAATGATAGATCGTCCTGTGTGGGCTGTGGGTGAAATGGTCTTGACAAGCCAAAAATTGCCTTTTGTCATTGCAGATTTATCCTTACATTTGATATTGCACATTGTTATGATGTTTCAAAGTGCTTCATAAGATTACTGTAAAATGTATTGAATGTGTATTTTTAGGCAATAACAGCAACCAATTTGTGCACAGTGATGCCCCACAAACAGCCATGAAATGAATGACTAATTTTGCAAGGAGATTGTTTGCCAGGACACAGGATAAACTCCCTTCTCTTCTTGGAGAGTGCCTTGAAATCTTTAATATCCACCTGTACAGGCAGTTAGGACTCAGTTTAACATCTCATCCAAAGGGCAGCACCATAACAATGCAGCGCACCCCCAACACTGCATTGGAGTTTCAGCCTATTCTTCATGACTTCATGTTTTTCTAATGTTCTTATATTTGTGTCTAAATATAAGAGCATTGTTAAAATGGGAAGCAAGTCACTTACCAATCAGTGGGACGCTGTCTGAGGGAGGCATGCTTTCTGCAACCATCAACTGAAACACAGTCAGAGCCAGAAGCACAGTCACGCCCAGTGATACTTTCTCTCCAGAATCTGCTGACAGATAAAACCCTAAAGGAGCTAGGGATGAGATCATTACACAGGGGAGCAACAGGTTAAAAATGTAGAAGGACGACCTCCTTTTCAGGATTAATGTGTATGTGATATCTGGGTATGGATCCGAACAACATCCATAAATTATTACGTTCTTTGTGGCTGGCATCCCATGTACTTCCCATTCAACATTCTCCACAAAATCAGTCAGGTCTCCACTGTCGAGTGCATCATCGATGTCTACCTGGTTTCCATTGTACGTCCATGAGCCAAATGTGAGGTTGCACCTCTGATTATCAAATGGAAAATAAGAAACATCGACCACACACGAGCTCTTAGTAATCGCTGGTGAATCCCATGTTACCCTCCCATCATACCTCAGCACCACATTTGTCTCCATTGATTCTCCGGATTGATCATCTGCCCTGAAATAATAAGTCACCAAAAGTTAAGGCGTCTTCGGAAAAAAACAAAATCTTAACGGGTAAATGGGAAAATATTCAGCAACAGTTTTAAAACACATGTCAACAAGCAAACAGCAACCTACATTTTGAAAGAGTTGTTTTTTAATATAGCTGTTTCCTATCCCCTTCCATCTAGCTATTCTCAATTTCAGGAAGGGAAGTTTCTGAGAGGGGAAAGTGATAGCTATAGAGAGAGAGAAGGAGAGGGAGGAAGGGGAGAAGTACCAAAGGATGTTGAAAGAGCATAATTCCAAGGGGAAAGAGGGACATAGAAGAGTCAATCAACTGAATTATCGCATGATCCTAAAACGTGTTATAAACAGAGAGATCTGTACCCTCAATGGGGCTTCTTGGTAGTTTTACATGTTTAAGTTTTAACACTGCTGGGCAGAGCAGTGTGATCACTAACCTTGTACTTATTCAAAAAATTGTATCTTTAGCATCCATCTGAACTTTGGTTTAACTTAAACATTATGGCAATTGACAATGTGAATCAATGCCATTTTGACCTACTTATTATATAAGACAATGTCGGGTCTCCATAAGTAGGAACTAGGTATTCGGATGGAATCAAGCCCATCATATTTATCTCTGTCCCACGTAAGGAAAGCATCAAACCAAATTTGTCGAATCCACAGGTAAGCAGTCAGAATTTGGTTCCTTTCATCCTATGAGAATGAAAAAGTAAAATCACATAATTGAAGAGGATAATAGTTTAATCACTATTGAAATGCTTATTTTTTCATTACAGAATGTCCTCTTTCTTAAAGTCACATTATAATTTAAATGTTGCAAAGATATACGTCAGGGGAAGGGGGGAAATATCAAGTGCATTCTTTGCCACAACGTGGAACAAAATTTAACCTAAAATTAGGACCAAGTAAAATTTAGCCACCAACGTTTTCAAAACCTTTTAAATAGATAAGGAGCATTACATTGTGCAACAATGATGAATGACCACTGAAATAAAAAAAATTGCATGTTTTAGGTCAGGTGATATTGTTCCAGTAGAAAAAAAAATCAAACTTGTCCACTGACACCTTTCTCATCAGGAATACAGTATTGGTATCACAAAGGGACACCAACCCAGCATCATGCTTAAGAGTATCCAAACCAAACTACTGAAAGTTCCATATGTATGGCACTGTCTGGAATGGAGTATGTGGTGCAACCCCTCAACAGTGGACTGTGTTTACCAAATCCCACAAAGTTTAGGTGCTTATTGACAAGAGCTAAGATTTGGGGATTTCAAGCCTTGAACGGTTATAAATTCTAAAATAGAAATAGCTATTTGAATTAAGCTCAATTATATTCTTATAATTACATTTTGCATGCTTATACAGGCAAATTCGAAGGACACAGAGAGACAAAGACGTATAGGTGGATCTTACTATATCTTTAATTTGGGAGAGTGTGACCTTCAAAGTGACATTAAGCGCTCGATCCGTATCTTCTACAGGCCTGAGAGCATTCGTATAGTCCTCAAATAAGGTCTTCAATAGCAGATGAGCGTACCTTCCATCTGCTGATTCAGCTTCTGTTCATACAGCCAAGGTAGTCATTAGTTAATAATCATTTGAATAGAAAGAATACAAGTGAGCAGGAATAAAAGCATTTATTTTCATCACATTGTAGATCACCAACTACTACAAATATTGTGTCTACCAATTTGTTTGGAATCCTGGCAAGCCTGACTATGTATAGCCTCAAGTACAGTGAAAAATGATGTTTTGTCTGCCTTAACAGACTTCTCGCAGCACTTGAGTGTGTTAACTGATGTTTTGAACAGTGTACTAATACCACTAAGATAAAACTTACATCTTCCATTTTATAACAGACTCGCATATCTGCACTGCTCAAAATCCAAATTTTCTTCTATAATAATAAACCTTGCATTTAATAAAGTGTATTATCACATTGATGAAAAGTCTCAAAGCTCGTCACAGGATTTTATTGTAAGGCGAAATAGAGAAGAAATACATGTGAAATTGGTAATGTCTGTTGGATAAGCCAAAGTGTATAACACACTCTGTCAATGGAACAGGCAGAATGGTTGGCCTGGTGAACACAAAACCCATAAGCTCAAATTTAAATTGTTTAGCTTAAAAAAAATCGATTTTTTCACCCAAATTAATTTGGTACAGTAAGGAAAGGAATAAATATAAAATATATAGCCACCGAAACTCACAAAATATAATCATCAGTGTCTAGATTTAACAATTGACGCAATGAACCTGTAACAACAACAACAAGATTTCATTTATAGAGCGCCTTTCACGTCGGGAGGACGTCCCAAGGCGCTGGACAGTTGGGTCAGGACCCGAGCCTTGGGGGAAATGGTCAGGGTGAGGGGGGGGAAGGGAGGGAGCGAGGAGGGGTAGAGAGTCGAGAGGGGAGCTGAAGGCACGGTCAAAGAGAAAGGTCTTGAGACCGGCCTTGAAGGAGGAAAGGGAGGAGGCGGCGAAGGCACTGGGGATAGAGTTCCAGAGCCTCGGGGCTGAGAGGCTGAAGGCCCGGCCACCGATGGTAAGGTAAGAAACAAGCTGGGCAGCTTTGTATGAAAGCAAAGAGGGGTTTTAGTAGGGTTCAAGTTCTGTTTCTCTGCAGTCTAAATGTCTCTATTAACAGTTACTAATTTTTAATCAATTTCTCCTCTTCTACCAAGAAAAGTTTATTCATATTTATTATTTACTGTCCAAGTTGTGGAGTACAATTCAGTGAAGTCAAATGACTCACTTAAACCTAGGTACTGTGATAGAAAATTTAAAACACGCGGAGAGAGGATTCAGTAAAGAAACAAAGCCACCCTTACCCATGATGAAGAATGCGTTTAAAAGCAACTTTAATCCCATAAGACTTAGACACAGCTTCATGTTGGAAACCAGTGATCCTCAAGAGCAGAATGAAAGTCACACACCTGCAAAATGCAATCATGCAAACGTTACCAGCAATACATTATCCATATCACAGACAAGTCACAATGTGATGGTCAGCGATTTATTGGTATAAATACACTCTGGGTTAATGTAACGTTACCGCATGTGGAAACCAGCAGCGATCTCCGCAGCTTCACTCGAGCTTGCTGCAAGTGTTGAGCTGACTTTTCCAGTACACGTAGCTTCACGGGTTGAATGACACTACGCTGGAGGCTCACTCATCCAGAGAGTTTATTACATCGGGAGATTAAACATTAAAAGGATACTTCCCCAATGTGCCCATCACTGCCTGGTTCAGCTGCTACTATCACTGTGCATGCATTAATGAATAAATTAGTTAAGGATTCAGTGACAGGGAGTTTAACTGTGCCACCAAACAGGCTGGAGCTTTGGGGAGATATTCCACCTTAGTACAGAGTTTCATTATTTTCCTGGTATTCCAAATCATTGCGTAATTTGGCCAATTCTTAAAAAGCGGCCTTAAAATTGAATCGTTTTCCCAAAAGGTTTGTTGAAAAGCTACTGAAAACCATGTCAAAATTAATGCAGAATTTAAGAATTTAAGACCAAATTCTGCATGCACAGAACTGCTGAGATGATGGTAAAAGTCTACAGCAGGGTAATCTTTCTCCCCGCTCTAAATCAATATTAGTGCAAAATCCCTGCTTTATCTGCATTGCACACCAAATCCACACATTTGTGTTAAATGATGGAAAATTTGAACATTATGCTATTGAATTAGAATCATTGAATACTGTGTTGAGAATAACAAATTTACTTCACATCATAGAACCTTTGTAGGGAACCTTTATAGGGAGGGAGGGATATGGAGATCTTATTCATTCTGGGGAGGGTGAAGTGCCCAAAGTACTGGGAAGGTACTGTTTCAGTTGAGATGTTAAACAGGTCCCGTTCAGAAGGACATTAAAGACACCAGTCAAAAAGAGAATGGATTTCTCCCAGTGTCCTGACCAACAATCCAGATTAATTGATCATTCATCTCAAATGTCTGTGCATGGGAACTTGCTGCTACAATTACTTGTGAAGCATTTTGAGATGTTTCGAAATGTTAACGTATTTGCTTTCTTCTTAACACATTTTAAAATCCAAGAAATTGTTCAAAGTGAATGAATGAATGTCAGAGCATTGGTTAGACTTGGGTTTAGCACAGGAAAGGAATTAACACAATTAATCCTTTGATGCTTTGAAAACAATCTAAGTAGGCCAACAGAAGGAAATACTGTGGCTTGGTCTAGTATGTGTGGCATGCTAAATCTTCTATTGATAATTTGTGGATGTTGCTCCCTACTTAGTTTTATCTGATCTATTCACTTGGTAGCATTCTTTAATATTTTATACCATTAGTGGAATATTTGGTTCAGGATAAATAACTTTCTACCAGAAAACCACACTGCACACAGTATGTGATTTTGTCAAATGTTGGCGCCAAGCACTCTTGTCTTGATTCTGCTTCAGTAGGTTGTGGATTCATGCCCCGTATCAGGTCTTGAGCTCAATGTCTACATTCTAATCTGAGAGGTGAACTGGTTCCAAGGCCAGATGTTTGACAACAGGATGTCAGAATCAAGACAGCCCTCTGTGGCGATCTCGGTAGTCTAGTTCCTGACTGCCAAGTGGGTCCAGAGTATTCCAGGGCATTGCTGATGATGGACCAGCCAGTCTGGGTCATCAGCAGGACCTGGAAGAGCAGACCAGTCACTGGTGCAGGGTATCTTCCCACTCAGCTCCCATTAACCCTGCAAGCCAAAGCCCTAACAAGTAGAGTGGTCCTAGCTGGACAAGCAATAGAAAAGCTTGCCAGACAGTACGCTCAATGGGAAGCTTTGTGGTTTTAGCTGGATGGACTCCAGCAGTATCCCAACACACACTCTGGGGTCCCCAAGCCTTGGCTCTTGCCAACCTGTGCCTAATATTTTCTGGAATTAGGTAAGCAGGGTGTGTCCCTCCAGGGAGAGAGTGCGCATTACATTCCAACAATTTCCATGTGTAGGTGGGATGCATGAAATTCTCAGTTGGTTTGGATACCCTGAAGTATGGTGATGGGTTTATGTCTGTATCAGACACCTGGCTAACACCCCCACCCCCCACTCCCCCACTCCCCCCACCAAAACTTGCTGGAGGTGCCTTTCTTTGGATGAGATTGTTAAGATGAGGTCCTGTTTGCCAAGTAAATGTTAAATGTCTCCTGATATTATTCATGAACAGAAGTTAGTTTCTTCCATTGTCCTGACCAGCTCCTCCAGATTCATTCATTATACAACTTATAGTTATTTGTGGGGCTTTGCAGGTGCAAATTGCTGCTGAGTTTGCCTATAAAAAACAACTACAGCATTTTGGCTCGTGAGTCCGTGACGAAAGCATCGATTTAATAATAATAATAATCCTTGCATTTGATATAGTGTCTTATCACGTCTTCAAGACGTCTCAAAGCACTTCATTTACTAACTTAAGATAGTCAGTAAATGAGCAAATGGGGCGGTTCGGTGAATTTGTTTCACGTACAGAGTGGTTAGAATATGGAATACCCTGTGGTTGAGGCAGAATCTATATTCCAAGTTTTCAAAGGACACAAATGGACTGAATGACCCTCTTCTGTGCTGTAAATGTCTAAGCTTCTGTGGTTCCATTCGACAATAATTACTTCTACAAGTGCTTTTTGACATCGTAAAACACTATAAAAATGTAACATCTTTAGTATGAATGAACTTTATTGGCTTAGGGGAAGAAGGTAACAATAATAATCCTTGCATTTGACATAGCGCCTTATCACATCTTCGAGACGTTCTCAAAGCGCTTCACAGAATATACTGTAAAATGGATTGACTGTATATTTTGTGGGCGAAACGCGGCAACCAATTGCGCACAGCAGTGTCCCACAAACAGCCGTGGACTGAGTGACCAAATTATTATAACCTTCTTTAATACATTTGTGTGTAACACTCCAAGAAAAGATTATCTGCCATTTTCTTTAGATACTTGTCTGGGGAAACCTCAAGGTATATGTTTTTCCTGTTGTTAGTTTTAAAAATGCTTGTAAAAACTTTGCTGACCAAACGTATGGGTTGGATACTCAGCTACTAGAAGCCACAATTGCAGATGAGTCACCACCATTGGATTTAAGTTCTTAACCTAAAGCCGAATACCATTCTTAGGCAAACACCTGAGGGGCTAAACACAACACACAGTGTCTGTTAAGTGGCAAGTTACCCATTGAATCACTTCTCACATCACAACCACTTTCAGTTCTGACAATAGGTTGTTGACCTGAAACTTTAACTCATTTTCCTCCATAGATGCTACGTGACCTGCTGCGTGTTCCCAGCGACTTCTGTGGTTACACCAGATTTCCAGCATCTGTAGTACTTTGCCCTCAGCTTTGTCTGTCCTGAGTGAGAAGTATAATTTGCAACATTTCTTAACAATTCACATGCAATAATTATTGCAGATTTCACCCTATTGATTTCACCCACCTAATTCCTAATGACCCTCTATTCCGTTCTCCCTCTTGTATATATCAATTTTCTCTTAAATACATTGCTGCTTTCTGCTTGAACCATAGTGTCTGACAGTGAGTTCTCATTCTCTCTACCTGTTATGTAAAGAGGTTCCTCCTAAACTCTCCTTTAGATCTGCTAGTGGCTATCTTATATTTATTCCCCTTGTAATGGACTCGCCAACAAGAGGAAACAGCTCATTTTTGTTCAGTTTATCAAACAGTTTCATAATTTTAAACACCTTTATCAGGTGCCCTCTCAAACATCTCATCTCCAGAGATAAAAGCTCTAAATTGCCCAATCTTTCTTGATAGCTGTAGCCTCCTATCGCTGGGAATATCTTAGTAAATCTATGGTGCACTTGCTCCAAATCTGGATCCATATGTGCCATTTAGTCTTCTAATAATAATAATCCTTGTATTTGACATAACGCCTTATCACATGTTGGAGACGTCTCAAAGCGCTTCAAAGAATATACCATAAAGTCAATTGAATGTATATTTTGTGGACGAAACATAGCAGCCAATTGCTCACAGCAGTGAATCCCAAACAACAACAATAACAACTTGCATTTATATAGCACCCTTCACGCCAGACAGTATCTCGGAACGTTTAGACCCCAGAATGCTCCCTCTATCCTTTATTTGTATTATAAGATCTGCTTATGAAATAAAGATTCTCTAACTTTTCAGTTAGAAATTAAACTTTGTTGGAGACTCAGGGACACTATAAGTAGCGGTGATGTTAAGCATGTAGCACCCTGGTGTTCTACAAGTGTAATCATGGTAGAACGTGATACTCTTTGCAGAGATGACTGAATTATAAATGAACCTCACATTCTCACTTCAACAAAACAAAGTCACTTCTATCTCATTCCCTTAATGCAGTTTCTACTTGTTTACTATAGATCTTATCACTACCTGCCTGATGATACCATTACAAAAATTGATTAAATTACCTCCTCAAGAGTTGTATAAGAATTTGCAATGTGATATCCACTGTACATTAGTGAGACACTGGCTTGAGTGGCATATGTTGAAAGTTTATAGTTCTGCTTAGAAAGAATGCCGTGTATTTTATCTCTGGGTTTGGTTAATTAGTATTCACTTCACGTGCTTGGCAGAGGGTGATGCTGTCCATTAATACAGATTGAAAACAATGTGTACCAGTCTGTAAAACCAGAAAGGTTTCTTGTTTTATGCTGAAATGAGTGAAGGAGAAGCTGTGTTTTGCCTTAGTTAAAGTCTCTTTTTATGGGTTAAAAATTGTAATGTGTGCATTACTATCGGTGTTAATTATCATATCATTGACAAAATGTAGGTGTGGAATTGTCTTCTCTTTCAATTGGTTGGGCCCAAAGGCACC